TCAAACTGTCATTCCTGGCATAGTAGATCATATGGTTGTCTGATTCAAAATGGCCAAAACCAGTCCATTTCAGCTCACTAATGCCGAGGATATCAATCTTCATGCGTTCCATGGAGGCTAGTACAATATCAGTACAGATATAATAAGTATAATGAAAAGACATGACCCTGATGCACATTTTTCCTGACTTTAAACCATGCAGTATCTCCCTGTTCTGTTCAGATGACCCCCTCTTGGTCCATGTACAGGTTCATCATGAGAACAATTAATTATTCTGGAATACCCATTCTTTGCCATATTATACATAATTTGTTATGATCCACACAGTCAAATGCCGTTGCATAGTCAATAAAATCAAAGCAAACATCTTTCTGGCATTCTTTGCTTTTAGCCAAGATCTATCTGACATCAGCAAAGATAGCTCTCGTTCCAAACCCTCTGCTGAATCCAGCTTGAATTTCTGGCAGTTCCCTGTCAGTATACTGCTGTAATCATTTTTGAATGATCTCTATATGTAGAGTTCACTTTATGCCTTAGTAAATATACTTGTAAGCATGATTGAGTATGTTTAAAAAGTGAGCTTTGAGGAGGCCAGTACAATATTTTATTTTCTCTCAAGAGATACTAGAATTATTTTGGGGGAATATACTATTAAAAGCAATTTTTAGTCACTTTGGGTGAAATCAATAGAATAAAATTATGTATGTGATTTTTATTAACCAACTTTTTAATAGTTATATTTATACATAATAATAGCAATTATACCAGAAAATAAAACACAAATTTTTATTAATAAGCTACCAAAGGGAAAACATGACAAAACACAGTTTTTAAAATAAATAAATTATCCAAAGCAAAAACTGTATTTTGCCAGGTTTTCCTAGGGCTTACTCTCTGAAGTTTCTAAATTGACTAATTTTTTCAAGAAAATGCTAACAAAAGAGTAATATTAAAACTCTGAAAGAAAAATAGAAAGAAGTCAGTCTTCTATTACCACAGAAAAAATTAAAGAGATAAGTTCTCATTTTATTAGCAACATTTGCCTATAACAACAGAAGTATTACTGATTCATTTCTGTTATGAACCACAATCTTGGTAGAATGTCAAAAATTGCAAACACATTCTTACCTCTTTTCCTTAAAGGCTATTCCAAGTATACTTCAAATCAGTTTCAGCTATCAGATTAGCATTCAGGCTAAGAAACATGTCACTGTTGTTATTAGGTATTGTCAAATTGTTTCTGACTTATAGCAGTCCCATGTGAGAGTAGAACTGACGCATAGGGTTTTCTTGGCTGTAATCTTCACAGGAACAGATCACCAGGTCTTTCTCCCTCAGAGAGTTGGGGAATGGGTTCAACCTGCCAAACTTTCAGTTAGCAGCCAAGCATTTAATGATTGTGCCACCAGAGTGCCTTAAAGCATGATAAATAATGAAAAAATGTTCTTAAATAGTTATGTAACTTTGAGATACTTACTTTGTTGTTATAATACTGGGATTCACAGTCACAAGATTTGTTTTACTGCCAACATCTTTACTAAAATTTCCTGTTGTTGGGGGAAGGTTACACCTGAAATTTGGAAAGGAAAATATTTTCAAAATACAACTTGTAGAAAAAAGTATGCACACATATACACATGATCTCTGTCCTCATTGGAAAGAATCATTGCTATTAATATATCTTCAGAATTCATATGATTTAAATTTAAAACTATTTAGTGGTGATGTTTTGCCTAAGGCATGTGACTGCTAACCAGAAGGCTGGCGGTTCAAATCCACCAGCCACACCTCAGAAGGAAGGTCGGAAATCTAAGGAGGGGTTGCTATGAGTCGGATCCGACTCCATGGCAGTGAGTTTGGTTTTTTGAAAAGTCTTATTTGATAATTCAACATAACATAACATATGAATTTGATGAATGCTTTTATATGAGTCAAAATCAGAAATGACAATTATACCTGCCTAGCCATTGAAGAATTCATAATGCTTATATTAAAAAGTATTATATTTAACTGATTATATCCCCACAGTGGTAACATCCCTAATTTAGTGATGGGAAAAAAAATTGAGTAGTGATGAAAGTTACAGAATATGCCAGAAGGAATGACTATATTACAAAAAATGAACCAAAATCTCCTGATTCCCATAAGGATATTTTTTCCATCGAATTATGCTGTTAATAAATAAAGCTCTAATGTTCTTATAGTGATGTTTTCCTTTTAATGTCCACATCTTCCTGAGTGTTAATTTGTTTTTAAATTGGAAAGCAAAATAAGAATTTTAATTTTGAATAATTTTATTCCTATCACAAAAGAGGGAAAGTTGGTTATGACTTCCTAAATAGTGTTTAAGTAGTTTCAAGTAGACCATTTCTTTCAAGCTATACATGAAAAGGAGGCATATCTGAATGCTTACTTAAAGAAAGGTGTTGAAAGTTGACATATTTTCTAATATGACTGAGCCTGAAATATGCTATTTCATGCTTAATGAGACGGACATACAAACAAATGAAACATGTATTTCCCTCATTTGTTTTAAAGATTCATCAGACAAAAATTAAATATGGGACCGTGGGAAAAATAAATACTAACCACAGATACGAGGTCACAAAATGATCTGCTTAGTGTGGGTTGCCTGTAACAAACCTACTTCTAGAACAGAGACATATTCTTTTGAAGAGTTATTGTCAATGTATTAGAGGAAGTGATAGGAAAAACACTTTATAGACCAAATAGCCTAATAAAGCTGGAGTCCTTAGGTGGTGCAAATGATTAATGTGTTCTGCTGCTAACTGCAAGGTTGGAGGTTCAAGTCCACCCAGAAGTGACTTGGGAGAAAGTCCTGGAGATCTACTTAAAAAAATTAGTCATTAGAAACTCTATGGAGCACTGTTTTGTACTCCAGTACACATGGAGTAGCCATGGAGTACTCATGACTCAGCAACACAGGGTGTTTCTTTAGTAGTCAAACCACTCATCACTTATTTCTACTGCTTACCTACTTAATTCATAGCTCCCAAACTTTTGAGATGAAAAACAAAACAAAACTAAAACAATAAGCAGTTTCCAGATTATCTTATAAACTATGAACAGCCATGGCCAAAATAAATTTATGCTTAAAAATTAAATAAATTGTAATAGAATCAACCACCTCTAGCCTTTATTTTGCTTTTCAGTTTGGATGGCTAACTTCAAAGGGAACTTCATATTCTGAAAAATAGTTGGTGTCAGCCAATGAAGAATATAAAAACAGGCATGTATTTTCAAGTTGTAAATTAAACAGCTGTCCAAATTTTTATTAGTTTAAAACCTAAACTTGTATTTCCTGTATTTGCTATAAAGTGAAATGAATGTTTAGGCATAATACTCAACACAGGTATTTTGGGAAATTTAAGTCTATAAAAAGACTTTTGAAAGAAGAGTTATTTATCTTCATTCTGGCTTTTTCACATTGAGTACTTTGACAAAATGGCTAAATCATTCAGGTATTGGCCATTTTAACATTAATCCAAGAAGAACACATTCAATAATCGTTAGAGTGCCAGGTCTATTGTTGTTCTGTTACTACCTGCAGCATAAATTTTTAAAATGAGATTAACATGAGGGGGAAGCTGTTTATTGAAAATCGTATTTTTTTCACTTGCTAAAAATGACACCATTAAATCGATAGGGATCAAAGGATCTCCTCTGATGTATGAAATCATTGCTCCTAGAACAGAAGGAAATAGATTTCTATTTACTCTTTAAAAGGTGCATTTCAATTGAAAATCATCCTCAGTTGGATGAATCATCTTTCCATCCAACTCTGAAAGTGGAGATGCTTTGTAGCTTGGCATATTAGCACGAAGTACACACAGATCCATTTTTGTTTCTATTTTTTCAAGCTAGCTGGAACTCAGATATAAACATTTTGAAAGACCAGAATTTAGAAGCTGCACATTTTTTTTTTCTAAATTTAAAGTCAGATAATGAAATACACAACGATGTCACATGGCTGTGTAATGTCTAGATCAGCATATTCTCCACGTTTATTATTTGACAACAAAATGTCCTTGAAAGGTTTTGTTAAAAAAAAAAAAGAAAAAGAAAAAAAAGGTCAGGTAGGCCTGGAAAATGCTGTCCAACAGAGTTCCTCTCAGGCAGTCTTGGTACGCATTGGTATACTGAAGGCTCAGACAAGTCCTGACATAGAGTACCCTCTAATCATCACGATTTCACCCAGTTTCCTAAAAATGTTTGATCATAGCACATGTTTGATTTCCTGTATAAATGTTCTGGGGAACTCATGATCCATATAACCCTTAAGGAAATGCCTATCTGGGGAAAATGTACAATTGAGTAACACAGCTCAAAGGTCAAAATTTACATGGGATGTCTTAATTAAAAAGCAAAACAAAATAAACCTGTAGCCATCAAGTTGATTCTGGCATATGCAACCCCATGTGTCACAGAGTAGAATTGCTCTGTAGGGGTTTTGTGGCTCTGGTGGTGTAGTAGTTAAGGCATATGACAGCTAACCAAAAGATCAGTGGTTTGAACACGTCAGGTGCTCCGGAGAAGAAAGATGAGGGATCCTGTTTCTGCAAAGATTTATAGCCTTGGAAACCCAATGGGAGTTGCTATGAGTCAGAATCAACTTGATGACAGTGAATTATTATTATTATTATTATTATTGTTATTATTTGAGCTCTTATAGTAAGGAGGTCTGGTGCTGTAACGGTTTAGGTATTTGCCTGCTGACCAAAAGGTGGTTGAATGTACCAGCCCCTCTGTGGAAAAAAGATGAGGCAGTCTGTTTCTGTAAAGATTTACTGCCTTGGAAATCCAATGCAGGTCATCATGAGTTGAAATCCACTCGATGGTAGTCAGTTTGGCTTTGGTTTTTTAATTTTTATGGAAGCAACTTGCCAGGGCTATCTGTGAAATCGCTGGGATGGGTTCGAATTGCTAACCTGTTTAGGTTAGTATCTGGTTGCAAATGGCTTGTACCACCCAGGCTCTAATGGTATTATCCCTTTAAAATAGCCAACTGATATTCTGTTTCAAAAAAACCAATTTGACAGGTCTTACCTAAAAACGAAGTCAGATTTATCTATTTCAGCTCCGCAGAGAGAGTTATTCAGAATTCCTCCATTTCCAACCACTGCACACTGATTATAACGGTACTCCACAAAAGGCTGGGACTATCAAGAGAAAGCGAAAAATGATCATGAAATATTTTTCCTTTTCGAACCATAAACATGATCAGCTTAATTCTGGTAGCATCACTTCAACACATGCTAAGAAGGTGAAGAAAAAGAAGAAGCAGGGGTGGTGGCAGCACAGCCTTCTGATGAACTTAGTGTGACTAATAAAAAAATTATATAAAACTAAGTTCTGTTTCTATTGAAAGGAATAACATCAACTATTAAAACTATAATAATATAAAATATCTATTTAGGTAAAATATATTTTATATCATCTAATAAAGTAAATAGAATGAGAATCAAGTACCCAAGATTGTGCTTTTTCAACAAGCAAGAAAGTTTTCAGTAAAAGAAAGATAAAAGATAGCAATTAGAAAGTAGCATTAAATCTTCCATTTTTAGGCACAAAATTAATAGTTAATTTAGCAAAAGTTTTCTGTGCTTCTTAGTCAGACCTTCAGGCTCAGTAATGCTATTAGATTTATGCCTGCCATCTCCTCAAGTGACCTTCCAGAATGCTTCAGGGAGGCCCCACAATTCTATGCTGACATCTTTCAAATTAATTCCAAAAGTCTAAATCTTCTTTATCTCATCCTAGGAATCAACTTCCCTACCCAAAAGCTTTCCCACTTTCACCAACTTCTCTTCAATTCAAAACATACTTTTCAATTAAGCAGTAACTTTTCCTTTGTTGGTCACTTGCCCTGAAATAATATGGCCATGTCCTGTAATAAGGGTGCCAGCTTATACTCCACAGTGATGATGTCATGATTCACCTATTTTGTCTCTTGAATTAGACTGTAAGTCATCAAGGGCAAAGAGTGTGCATATTACTTTCAATTTCCACTTGTTTTTCACTGCAGACCTAGCAAAGCACAGTGTATGCAATGATTTTTCAATAAGTACTTGCAGGTTGGGTCCAAGGGTCTACCCAGCTTTAGTCAATAAGTAGGCTGATAGGAAATAGTTGATAAATATTCTCGTACCAGCTTGCAGGAGATAGTTGATAAATATTCTGGAATTTTGTGAGCTGGCTTTTGAACCACTGGTATCCTATCACCCAAAATATTGACTTATGCTATCTATTTGTTGAACTGTGGTGGCTTGCATGTTGGTGCGATCCTGTGAGCTACGCCAATGATGTTTCAGATACCAGGAAGATCATGCATGGTGGATAGGTTTCAGCAGAGCTTCCAGACTAAGACAGACTAAAACAAAAGGCCTGGTGATCTACTCTGAAAAATTAACCAGTGAAAACCTTATAAGTCACAAAAGAACACTGACTGACTTTGTTGCTTTTGATACATCATCAGGAAGAACCAACTGCTAGAGGAGGACATTATGTTGGGTAAAGAAGAGAGGCAAAGGGGTGAAGGAGACTATGAGTGAGATAGATTGGCACAAAAGCCACAAGGATGGATTTGAACATTCTGGTGATCATGAGGACGGTGGAGGACCAGGTAACAATTCAGTCTGTGGTTTATAAGGTTCCCATGAGCCAGAGTCAACTTGACAGCAGCTGTCGATCTATCTGACCTGAAATTGCCCATGGTAGGAGTATTTATACCACTGAATTGGCAAATGCTACAAGTCAGGACACCCCTTCCCAAATCCAGAACACCAACCCCAATGGCAACAGCCCAGGGCTAATGGAGTTCTAAGCAGCTTTGCCGGGTCACAGCCTAGAGAATCAACAGACCCCTGAATGACTATGGCTGCCAGCTGCTTTTGAGGCTAGATCCTGGAGATGTCAAACAAGCCAAGAGAACTCTCTATCAGTTCTTCTAGATTTGTAGTTTTGTTTGTTCTTAAAATTAAAAATTGTATACTGCATATTAGATGCCCAGGTGGCACACTGGTTAAGTACTCAGCTACTAAGAGAAAGGTTGGCGGCTAGAACTCATCAGCCCCACTGGAGAAAGATGTGATAGTCTGCTTTAAAAGATTACAGCCTTAGAAATCCTATGAAACAATTCTTCTCTTCCTATAGGGTTGTTGTGAGTTGGAATTGACTCAATGGCAATGAATTTTGGTTTATCGTGCTTATAGGGAGTGCTGGTGGTGCTATAGTTAAGGTATTAGGCTGGCAACCAAAAGGTTGGTGGTTCAAAACTATCAGCTGCTCTGTGGAAGAAAGATGAGGAGGCCTGCTTCCATAAAGGTTTACAGCCTTGGAAAACCAATGGGGTTCACTATGAGTAAGAATTGACTTGATAGCAGTGGGCTTGGTGATTATAATGTGAGAGCCACTGTTCTAAGTGTGTAACTTTAACAAATTTAATCCACACAATACCTTATGAGCATTTTATAGATGAGAACATAGAGGCATGAATTTAAGTAACACCTAGAAGGTGGAACTGGGCAATCTAATTCTGTAGAGATACTGCCTTGGAAACCCAAGGAGGGGTCACTGTGGGTTGAAATAGACTAGATGGCAGTGAGGTTTTTTTTTTTTTTTTTTCCCCAGAAGGTGGAAGAGCTGGGATTCAAACCCAGGATGTCTGCTCCAGAATTGGTGTTAGTTGCCATCAAGTTCATTCCAACTCATAACGATCCTATGTGTGCAGAGTAGAATGCTCCACTGGATTTTTAAGGCTGTGACCCCTCAGGAGCAGATCACCAGGCCTGTCACTCAAGAAACCTCTGAATGGGGTCTAACCACCAATCTTTTGGCTAGTAGGTGAGTGCTTACCAATTTGTATCACCCAGGGACTCTTACAGAGTACGTGCTGTTAAACAACACACATTACACAGGTTCTCATTATTCAAAGAATAAAATGTTGACCTAATTATGTGCCTTACCCACTGTCATCGAGTCATAACGACCCCTCCTTGGGTTTCCGAGGTGGTATCACTATGGAAGTAGATTGCCCAACCTTTCTTCTGAGGAGTGGCTGGTGGGTTTGAACCACCAGCCTTCTGGTTAGCAGTCAAATGCCTTAGGCACTACGCCACCAGAGCTCCCATTATGTGCCTTATTTCTGTTTATAGCCACAATGCCTAGCATAGTGTCTAGCTCTTAAATGAATGATTTTCAGATACCCCAGGCTATTCCATGTCACTGAACTTGTAGCTAAAAATGTCCTCAGGTAGTGTTTACTAAATGGTATTACAATAAGTTCTGAATTTTATAGATAGGGTAGAATGCAAAAATGCAAATATGTTCTCTATGGTACAAGAGAAAAGATTACTGAGGGAAAATACCTCAAATTAAGCACTCAAAATAATTAATACTTTTCTTTGGTTTCTTGGTCAACCAGAGGAAGCCATCAATATGCTTTGGGATCTCATGTTCAATAAGAGCTTCAATAAATCTTAAACCTCAAACTTCCATAAAATAAACTGTCTAAGAATATGCAAATTTACATGGCTCACCTGCCTACTTTTGCTCATTCTGGATGGAAGCCAATTTTGTTGGTTTCCTTTTCAATTAACTTGGCAAAGTTTCTGGAAGAAGTTACCTCATACCACCCAATGAAAAGCATTAATTGTGATCTGGTTGGGGATATTTTCCCATGTGATATTCTAGGTTTTTTTTTTTTTTTTTAAATTCATTGAAATATAATTTATGTACAGTGAAATATACAAAGCTAAAGTGACATGGGTCAGTGCTTTTTTTTTTTTTTCAGTGTTCCCTGCCTTCTCCTCTCACTCCTACTAACAAAGAAAGTTTCCTTCCATATATAAACCTTTCCTTGACTTTTTACAATAATGAACTAATACAATATTTCTCCTTCTGTGATTGATTTATTTCACTCAGCATAATGTCCTCCAAGTTCATCCATGTTGTGCATTGTTTTGCAGATTCTACATTATTCTTTAGTGTTGCATAGTATTCCATTGTTTGTATGCATCATACTTTGGTTATCCATTCTTCTGTTGAATGGTTGTTTCCATCTTTTTGCTATTGTAAATAGCACAGCAATGAACATGGGAGTATATATATTTGTTCTTATCCTGGCTCTAACTTCTTTAGGATATGTACCTAGTAATGGGATTGATTGCTGGGTCAAATGGTATTTCTAATACCAGCTTTCTAAGGAATCACCACACTGCTTTCCACAGTGATTGTATCATTTGACAGTCCCACCAGCAGTGTATGAGAGTCCCAATCTCTCCACATCCTCGTCAGCATTTGTTATTTTCTATGTTGTTGAACTTTGGCATCAGTGCTGGGTATCTCGTTGTTTTGATTTGCATCTCTCTGATGGCTAATGATCGTGAACATTTCTTCATGTATTTGCTAGCTGCCCAAATATCCTCTTTGGTGGAGTGTCTGTTCATGTCTTCTGCCCATTTTTTAATTGGGTTGTTCATCTTTTTGTTGTTGAGGTGTTGGAGTTTTCTATAAATTTTAGAGATAAGTCCCTTGTCAGATGCATTATTGCCGAGTAGTTTTCCCAATTTGTAGGCTCTCTTTTTACTCTTTTGGCAGTGTAATTATTGACAAGTACAAATTTGTTGCTGTCATTTTGCTATGTGCTTTTTTAGTGGTGTTGCTGATTTCTTTGTTCCATATAATATTCTGTGCTGAGTTCATTTTGTTTATCAAAGTTCCTTCTTTGCAACTGTTTTAGTATTTGCTAAATATTTGTGCTGGTCCTCTTTTTTATTTCGATGTGAAGGTTTATTTTTTTTCTTTGAGGTTACCTGTGATTTAAAATTTTCTTCCCAAGTTTAGAATTGTCTATTCTGTCTTGTAGTTGTCTTGACTACCCTACCATCTATGTCTGTAACTACACAATTTTTCCTCTCTTTTTTGGTTTGTAGTTGTCCTCATTTGTCAATTGATATCTTTGATTCCCTGTTTACAATCTTGTAGGCTTATTTACTTTGGATACTTCCATAGCTGGGTTGGTTTCTGGGTTATGTCATCATGTGTGTTAATAGTTGTCATTTACTGTTACTGGTTCTCTGTCCAAAGGACTCCCTTTTAGCATCTCTTGTAAGGTTGGTCTGATTTTAACAAATTCCCTTAATTTCTGCTTATCTGGAAATGTCCTGATTTCATCATCATATTTGAGGGAAAATTTTGCTGGGTATATAATTCTTGGTAGGAATTTTTTTTCAGGGTTTTATATATGCCATCCCAGCCATCCCATTGTCTTCTTGCCTGCATGATTTCTGCCAAGAAATCTGAGCTTAGTCTTACTGGTTGCCCCCTTGTAGGTAACTTTTTGTTTTTCCCATGCTACTTTCAGGATTCTCTCTTTGCTTTAGGTTTTGATGAGTTTGATGATGATATGTCTTGGTGATTTTCTTTTGGGGTCTATCCTGTTTGGGGTTTGTTGAACTTTTTGAGTAGATATGTTCTCATCTTTCATCATATCAAGGAAATTATCTTCCAATAAATCTTCAACAATTTTCTCTGGTTTTATTTGTCTCTTCCTGTTCTGGAATTCCAATTACATGTAGGTTATTTCCTTTTGATGGTATCTCACATGATCCTTAGGCTTTCTTCATTTTGTTTTGATCTTTTTTCTGATTGATTCCTTTCCAGAGAAGTATTGAGATATTTGTCTTCCATCTCACTAATTCTGTCTTCCATTGATTCAATTCTGGTCTTTTGCCCTTTCAATGTGTTATCTTTTTCTGAAAATTTAGTATTAATCTTCTGGATTTCTGTGTGTTGATTTTGTATCATTTCTAATTTTTCATTTATTTTGTCATTTTGTTCTTGTATTGTCTTTCAAAATTGTTCTAGAGTTGCCTCTGTATTTTCTCCAATTTTGTCAGTGTTTTCCTTGATCTGTCTCTCAATCCACTGAAGGTATCTAAATATCATTCTTTTGAATTCCTTATCAGGGAGTTCCAATGCTGCTTCTTCCTCAGGGACGTGTTCTGAGTCTGCATCCTGGTCCCTTGTTTCTCCTGCTTTAACTTGCTTCTTTGTGTGGACTGTGATGCTCTGTTGTCTCCAAGACACTGTGACATTTTTGTATTTATATTTAATTGGTGACTGTATGTGGGAGTGACTTGTCCATGATTTTCATTTTGTTTTCTTTGGATGTTCTCTATGTAAGCAGGTACTGCGTGCCACTATTTGCTAGTTGGCAGCACTTATACACTTACCACCTGTCTCTTTTCCCATTGTCAGCCCCCGTATGTCCCTGCTGTCCTTGGCAAATGGAACCTATTTTTAGGTCCCTGGAATTTGAATGAGAATGCTGTCACTTTAAATATCCAAAACGGCTGCTGCTTTTAAAGATTCAAAATGTCTGCACCCGTGCTCACTTTAAATACAGAAAATGGCCACTGTTTGTAAACATTCAAAATGGCTATACCCTTGGTCACTTTAAATATGCAAAATGGCTGCCACTTGTAAATAATCAAAATGGCTGCTCCCTCCAAACAGTTGATAGTCCACAGTTCAGTTTGTCTCCTTCCTTGCTGTTTTCCTTCCTTGTCATAGGCCAGCAGTGCAGTAGTCCCTGCAGCCCTTGGCAACTAGGGCTGATCTTTAGGTCAATTCTCAGGTCCCCAAATCACTTGGAAATATTCAGGTTAGTGCTGTCAGAGTAGCTGACAGTCCACAGCTCTGTCCATCTCTATTCACTGTTTTCATTCAGGTTTTCCACTAGTTGGTGCCTAATTCATTTCTGTATACTTCCTTTCAAAGCTCAGAGCTCCAGGATTATCTTCTGTATCTCTGTTTCTCTTTTTTTTGTTGAAGAGAGTTTGTGTAACTTGTCTGCCTATTATAATATCCATCTTACCAGAAGTCTGATTTTTTAGTTTCTTTTCAGCCAATTATGTAGGCTTTTTATTCATGTGTATTTTCATTTTTTTGTACAAAATGGAATTAAACATTAATTTTTGTTATTCTAACTAAAATCTTAATGATAAATATTTAAGTTTCAAACCTTTTGATATTACTAGTAAGGTAGGGAAGAAACACTAGCTAAAATAACCTGAAAAGAAGAGAAAATTTGCTAAAATGTCTTTAAAATTCTAAAATTTTATGTAAACACCTGTAAAACATACCTCTGATGCTCCCAAATTACCAGGACTTGAAAAATCAATGCCTGGGATTAAGTTATTCCTTTTCATACAATTTATCATGTATCTCATTCCTTGTTGACCAATTTCTTTTTGACCATATTGATTGGGTCAAATTATCTTTAATCAAGTCATGAAAAGATGCATGAGAGAATATGTTAAGCAATGGGATGGTCTTCAGGAAAATAAATTTCCCCAAACTTTGGATTTGTTTTAAGGGATACATTTCTCCCTATTGTGTCAAATGATATTATACTTTATCATTCACTCATGTGCTTATTCAATGAATATGTATTAAGTACATATATAAATATGTACCCAGGAATGTTCTAGAACCTTGAGATATACCAATCAAGACACCAAACAAAATTTCCTGTCTTAAGGAGGCTACATTTATTTACCACAAATTCTCATATGTTACTTTCCAAAGATGAGCCACATAAACCTTATACTTCTTTGTAAAGGAATTCATTTAGTAACAAAAATATACAACTGGAAGAATCTTATTTCAGGTGAAAAACTGTCATCTTTACAAATCCAGCAATTACTGTGCAGAAATCCCAAGTGCCTCATCTCATTCAAGGATGAATCAGGAGGACTTGAAGACTGGGAGAGCATATTACTTAAATTATAAATGCCACTTACTGCAGAGTTCCACTGCATTCCAAATTATTTTTTCAAAATGGCCTACAATACACATTGTATGCAACATGACTGAGTGTGGAATTTTAATTAATTAATTGCTTCATTATAAGTTACAACTTACAATGAGAGAAAATTTACCAGGAATAATGACACAAATCACCCATACCAAATCTTTACTTACCACTGGAAGCATATTAAATATTTTCTCTCCAATCAGGATTCCTTTCTTACTTTCTGCCTCATAACTCATGTTAGTCCCAACTGGAGTGTTATTTTGAGAAACAACAAAGTTTTGAACAGCATCACAACAGGAAGCAAGCTCTTCTCTGCAAAGGAAAAGAATAATCGTGAGCCAAGGAATAAGATTAAGAAACTAAAAATAGAGTTGACAATGGATCATGTGAAGAGAACTTTGTCCAATGATTTTCAAAAGAAGATAAATCACTCACAAAGGTGACACTGTTATGTCATTCAATTCTAATTAGCCCTTGATAGTAGAATGGTAAATAGGGAGAAAAAAAATGACAAAGAATGTTAAATAGACTTCAGTAGGGCCCTCTCATGTATGTAAACTCACTGCCATCAAGTCTATTCTGACTCATAGCAACCCCCTTTGGGTTTCCAAGGTGGTGAATCTTTACAGAAGTAGATTGCCAAGTCTTCATTCAGCAGAATGGCTGGTAGTTTTGAACTGCCAATCTTCTGGTTAACAGTCAAATGCCTTAGGCACCATACCACCAAATCTTCTTCATGTATGTAAAAGTACTCATTAATAACAGTTTTCAATATAAGAGCTTCCTTCTAGTGGTACAATTTTAATATTAAATTTAAAAAACCAGACTAAATTATAATTATTTCATATATTAATTAGTAAATATGAAACTAAATGAAGAATAGTATTAAAAGTCACTGAAGCAATAAGCAATCATTTATGGTAAGAAAAGTCCAATGAAAAGGAGAATCATTTAGTTCAGTGAGTTTTTAAGTGAAGCAAATTTAAAGTTGTCATTCCTTATAGATACTCCAGAAAAATGTGATTAAGTGCCAAGTTATATTTCAAAACTATTGCTGTAGAGTGTAACATTATTATTAGAAGGGAGACCCAAGAGGTCCTTTCAGAGATCATCTGAGTTAGCCCTCAACCTCCGGCAAGTGAACATAAAACAATTTAGGAATTACATTTTGTTTATGTAATTCTCCAGGGATGTAGATTTGAGTCTCTCTTGACAATTATTCACAATTACTCCAGGTTTTAATCAATCTTGAAGTCAAGAGATACTTCCATTTGTACAACTAAATATTTCTTAACTTAAATCCATTTCCCTGTTAGATTTTCAATGAATTTCCTATAAAAACACTTCATGTAATTGAGAATGGTAATGAAAGCACACTTTAACGTTTTCATCTTGAAGAGGTTACAGAATTTCCTCTTCTTTTCTGTCAGTTTTTCATTATTTTTAGTCATCTTTGTTCCTCTTTAAATTTTTACTTATTATTCCTTTTTACTTAAAAAAAAATGTATCAAACCTGGATCCAATCATAGTACAAGGGGCAGTGAATATTTAGCAGACAGAACAAGGCATTGCTGACTGTACTCAATGCTACTACACTAGATGCCTGGCTGGTCCTTCCTTATTCCTCAGGTTTATTAGTTTTGGGTCCTGAAGGGTAGACTTTTGTACATGTTCCTACTTACTTTTATCCTTTTGAAAGCCATAATTCTCCAATTTGTTACGGTCATTTAGAATTATATTCTACTCTTCCTGGATTTCAAGAATTCTCAGGGTATGAAATCTCAGTATTGTAATATTATTTGCATCTCAAAGTCAAGGTTTTTAACAATCTTTTTCATCTGTTAACTTATTTCATTAAAATATTACATTCTTCTTAATTGAATTCCATTGTCTGCTTATTACTTCTTTTTGTATTTCAGAACCTAAAATTTCTAAAAGATAGTTCATGGAGATTAACAATACCAAAAATGAGAATGGAATGATATGTAGCCAAAAAATGATACTAAGTAGTTTTTAATTATAAATTTAATCTGATGGCAATTCATGTAATGTTACTGTAAATTCGGGAATCCTTATGAGTTTATAATTGTAAATATCTCCTTTATCCATCATTTTGAAAAAAGTCAACATAATAAATTCTCATTAACCTTTAACAAAAAACAACTTTTTAAGGATATTCATATTTATAAGAATATTGGATCATCAAAAACACTAGCCAGAGAACTCTTTGTGCTGTTTTATATTAGTAAATTTTCTGAAATATTATTTTTTATTATTTTATTATAAAATGTCCCAAAACAAACAGAAGAGTTGAAAATATTATACAATGAGCACTTGAATAACCACCAATTAAGTTCTTACTATATTTGCTATACCAAACAAAACTCACTGCCATTGAGCAGGATCCAACTCACAGCAATCCTGCCTTGGGTCTCCAAGGTGGTATCCCTATGGAAGTAGATTGCCCAACCTTCCTTCTGAGGAGTGGCTAGTGGGTTTGAACTGCTAGTCTTATGGTTAGCAGTCTAATGCCTTAGGCACTCTGCCACCAGAGCTCCCTGACTAAATATTTATTGTATATCTATTTGTTATAGTTGGAGCTGTGTGTCAACTTGGCTGGAACACAATTCTGTGTGGTTTAAGCAATTGTGGTTTGGGTTATTCCCATGACAGGATTGGATGTAAATGTTTTGAGCAGCCAATCCACTGAAAGGGAGTTTCGCTAGGGGTGTGGTCTGCTTCCAATATATTTATGGACATCTTGGGAAAAGAGACACTCTTCTGTGGATTGGGATCCTATTGTGCTGCCTACAATTGTCTGTGAGTGAACAATGCACCATTCAGCCTGGAGATCTTAGAGTCATCATTTGCTGGAGTCAACAGCTGGTATACTGCCTACCAACCTTGAGCTCATCAGCCCTACAGCTCTTTGAGTCCTGCTTGATGTTTGATCCAAGAACTTGGGACTTGCCAGCTTCTATAAGTGTGTGAGCCATTCTCCTTAGATAAATTTCTTTTTCTCTATATGTATATATAAGCTTTACTGGTTTTGCTTCTCTAGAGAACCCAGCTTAACACACTATTCAACAATTCATTTTGTTCTTGTTTCAAAGTATGCTACATATACCAGTCAGTATATTTTACCCCTAAAAACTTGAGCATTGTTATTGTTATGTGCCATTAAGTCATCTCGGACTCATAGCGACCTTATGTAAAACAGAACGAAACACTGCCCGGTCCTGTGCCAGCCTCATGATCCCTACTATACAGGAGCCCATTGCTGCAGCCACCGTGTCAATCCATCTCGTTGACGGCCTTCCCCTCCTTTGTTGACCCTCTACTTTACCAAGCATGACATCCTTCTCCAGGAAATTGTTCCTTCTGACAACATGACCAAAGTAAGTGAGACGAAGTCTGGCCATTCTTGCTTCCAAGGAGCATTCCGGCAGCACTGCTTCCAAGATAGATTTGTAAGTTCTTTTAACAGTTCATGGTACTCTAAGTATTCTTTGCCAACACCACAGCTCAAAAGCATCAACTCTTTTTCAGTCTTTCTTATTCATTGTCCAGCTCTCATACGCATATGAGGTGATTGAAAATATTACGGCTTGGGTCAGGTGTACCTTAGTCTTCAAGGAGACATCTATGCTCTTCAGCACTTGAAAGAGGTCTTTTGCAACCAATTTGCCCAATACGTCTTTTGATGTCTTGACTGCTGCTTCCATTGGCATTGATGCAGAACCAAACAATGTGAAGTCTTTAACAATTTCAATCTTTTCCCCATTCATCATGAGGCTGCTTATTGTTCCAGTTGTGAGGATTTTTGTTTTCTTTGTGTTGAGATGTAATCCATACTGCAGACTGTAGTCTTTAAACTTCATCAGTAAGTGATCAAAGTCATTCTCACTTTCAGCAAGCAAAGTTGTGCCATCTGTGTATCTCAGGTTGTCAATGAGCTTTCTTCCTATCCTGATGTCATGTTCCTCTTCATACAGCCCAGCTTCTTGGATTATTTGCTCAGCATACAGATTGAATAAGTATGGGGAAAGGATACAAACCTGACACACTCCCTTCCTGATTTTAAACCATGCAGTACACCCTTGTTCTATTCTAATGACAGCCTTCTGGTCTACATACAGGTTCCTCATGAGTACAATTAAGTGTTCTGGAATTCCCATTCTTCTCAATGTCATCCACAATGTGTTATGATCCACACAATTAAATGCCTTTGCATAGTCAATAAAACACAAGGAAACATCTTTCTGGTATTCTTTGCTTTCAGGCAAGATCCATCTGACACAGCTATGATATCCCTTGCTCCATATCTCTTTCTGAATCCAGCTTGCATTTCTCAAAGTTCTCTGTCAAAATACTGCTGCAACCATTCTTGAATTATCTTCAGTAAGATTTTACTTGCATGTGATATTAATGATTTTGTTTGATAATTTCAACATTCTGTGGGATCATCTTTCTTTGGAATGGGTATGAATATGGATCTCTTCCAGTCAGCTGGCCAGGTAGCTTTCTTCCAAATTTCTTGGCATAGCTGAGTGCCCCCAGTGCAGCATCCTTTTGTTTAAACATATGAATAGGTATTCTTTCAATTCCCTGATCTTTGTTTTTCACCACTTCCTTCAGTGCAGCTTTGACTTCTTCCTTCAATACCTTTGGTTCTTGATCATATACCATCTCCTGAAATGGATGATTATCTACCAATTCTTTTTGGTATAGCGACTCTGTGTATTCTATCCATCTTCTTTGGATGTTTCCTGCATCGTTCGATATTTTGCCCATAAAATCTTTCAATATCGCAACTTGAGGTTTAATTTTTTTCCTCAGTTCTTTCAGCTTGAGAAATGCTGAGTGTTTTCTTCCCTTTTGGTTTTCTAACTCCAGGTTTTTGCAGAGTTCATTATTAAAAATGACTTTGTCTTCTAGAGCTGCTCTTTGAAATCTTCTGTTCAGCTCTTTTATCCTGTCAATTCTTCCATTTGCTTTAGCTAATCTCCATTCAAGGGCAAGTTTCAGAGTCTCTTCTGACATCCATTTTGGTCTTTTCTTCCTTTCCTGTCTTTTTAATGACCTTTTGCTTTCTTCATGGATGATGTTCTTGATGTCATCCCACAATTCCTCTGGTTTTCAGTCATTGGTTTGCAATGCATGAAATCTATTCTTTAGATGGTCTCTAAATTCAGGAGGGATATAATCAAGCTCACGTGGACTTGTTTTAATTGTCTTCAACTTCTACTTGAACTTGCATATGAGCAGTTGATGGTTTGTTCCACAATCAGCTCCTGGCCTTGTTTT